TTATTTGTGCTTTTTTACATGTGAACAATCTTTACTCTATAGAGTTCTCTTTGGCTCGACAAAACGGACACAAAGGTATTTCTCAAACGGAGGCCTCTTACTCGCTAGTATCATTGACATCACTGTTTACGCACAACTTGTACCGATTGTAAAATAAATGTTTATAGTCCGTAATCATCATGTGCAGAAACTGTCTGTGCTCATCATATATCGGAGAATATTCTTACAGGAAAGTCTAGGCTTAGGTGAATGGCGTTCTCCTGACAAGGAAAGGGATTTAACTACAGAATAGGAAAAAAAGTAAAAGAAAGGGAAAAGAAATGAAAGAAACAAACATGACCCTTCCGTGAACTTGGAAGTTTAACGAAGCAGACTTTTAAGAAAGTCTTTTTTACCCTGAGCTTGAGTTGCACAATCAGGATTCTGTCTGTAGCCATCAATGCGATGGTTTAGCTTGAAAGCAACGCACCCCAGGAGTTTTTTGTTTTTTGTTTTCCCTAAGTTCTTTACCAACCGTGTCAGACGTTGTTTTCCCTGCAGCCTTTGTCTGCACAATGACTCGGTACTTTGCTCTCACTGGCTTCTAGAATACAAAGGAAGCAAAGCATTAGACGTGCGTCTGAAAGGCTGCAATCACTGGAGTAGAACAAAGATTTCGCAGCTTGTGTGATGTTTTCCTGGAAAGTGCACCTTTTATCTGCTACCAAGTGTCACAAATATTTTAGTAGAAGAATTTATGACACCTTAATCAGCGCATGTCAGATGCCGTCTCCATCTACGTCTTCAGTTCAGGTTGTACACAGTGGTCAATAGAATTATCATAAGAAATAAGTAACATGAAACGCGACCGTATCCGCCATCGCTAAAACAAACATATTTCACACTAAGTGGAAATAAAGTCATTGAAAACCTGTTTGCGCTGTAACAGTGTAAATACGCTGACTCCATGTAATCGTCATTGTTTATTATGTAAACTTTCATTTATTTACTTTCCAGAAGACTGTTCTTGGCGAGCAGGGGACGGTCCGTGCTGCATGGCGATGGATTGTGTTTTTTTCTGTCATTTTTTTCTGATGGCAGTTTTATGGCAAAGAGCGCAATGTGTAAGACCATATGCGGCTCATCTCATGTAAATGCTCGGTTCTGTACGAGGTTGTTCGGAAATGACAGATTTATGTCGCTTTGCTGTTGGTAACTTGGCCAGCAGACGGCCGGCTGTACAGTTTGTAGGATGAAAAGAAACTCAGAATGAGAGATCTCTCCCAGATTATAGGACACTCGTAATACACCCCCCAAATAAATGTATTAATAATACTTACTCTAGAAATTCGGTTAAAGTCATGTAATGTCTTAGAATGTCCCCCATTTATCTATGAGAGAGGAGCCTAAGTTAAGGATGATTTCTTCTCTTTAAATAAGTTCTCCTGCCTGTACGAAGACTTCCTCTCATCAGTGGTGTATCCTGGTTTTGTGCTGCCCTAGGCAGGAAAAAACTCAGCCCCCCC